GGTTGATTCTGTGATTCTATGATTCCCATGTCCATTTTCCTTCCCAGTCCCTGGAGGATAGTGGATGACTGTGGAGGAGCCTTCACCATGGGGGCCATAGGAGGAGGCATTTTCCAGGCCATCAAGGGCTTCAGGAATTCCCCAGTGGTAAGTGAAATCCTTTGTTCTTGCACAGGGAATCTGGCAGGGAAGGGGAATAAATCCCAGTGCAAGGAGCAGAGCTGGTTAATGGGCTGTTAATTCAGGAGGGTCCATCCTGGCTCAGATCCTTCATCTCCCTGAGTGGAAGCTCTGCTTCCCCTGTTGGCTCTGATGGCAACAGCTGCCTGTGCTCCCTCCTTGAGGAATATTTCCCTTGGGATGGGGAAGAGCAGCAGGAAACATCCAACCTGTGGTTCTGTCTGCACAGGAACATGTGAGGCCTGAGCTCTCTCCTTCCCCTCCTGGCCTCTCCCTCACCTTTCAACCATGGCAATGCTCAAAGGAGGAATCTTCCTCCTTCAGATTTATATTAGGAGTATAATTGCCTCTAATTAACCTCTAATTTAATCATTCCCATTTTTCTTCACTGCATTTTTGGCTGCTCAAGTTGTGTTTCAGTGCAGAAGTGTCCAAACATGGAAGGAAGTTTAGCTGTTTCACTTGTGAGATTTCTGCTGTAAAATTGTGCTTAGTAACCAATTTCAGAGACTTTTGATAAGTTAAGATCCAATTTTTTCTTGAACATTTGTTTTCAAGTTGCTCTGATTCATAGAAGAGGTTTTTATTGAGTGTTTTGGTGTCACTAAGAGTTGGTTCGAGGGAAGTTCTGTGAGTAAATGTTGCCAAACTCAACAGAACCTGCACACACTTCACTTGGAAAGGTTTAGGTCCTTAATTAGGCTCTTAATTTAGCTTAAGGCTTGTTAAATCAACCTTTTCACACTTCTGAGTGCTTGGACCAAAGGGAAACTTGTCTTTAAATCATGTTCAAGTGAGAGAAAATGTGTCCTTGGGGGCCCTGAGTGTCAGTCTGGAAGTCTCAGCACCACGTCTGGAGCTCAGTTGCTTCTCTTAGCTACACAGACAAGGCCTAAATATTCCACCTGAGCAGCA